CTATGAAATGTTTAAATCCTAGTCTGATTGGGCCTTGAGGACTGGTTAATCTTCATTGATTGGGCTGCATATCTGATCTATTCCTTGCTCTAACATTTCACTGTATTTGTGTTTGCAAAATAGTATTTATTTGACAAAAGTTATTTTTATAATAAAAAACTATTTGGTAAAAATTGCTCACTGTGTAATGGCTTGCAAGTGTAGAGGACATGGTTTATTGGGAGCTCATCAGTAAGTACTGGATAGTTTAGAAACTGTGTGAAAAATAATATACAGTAACCTATAATTTCTTTGATGCTGCTCAGATGAGATGAGGTCTGCTGGATTTCATGGTTTTCCAGCCTTCTTGTAAGATCCTTACCTGGAGTGTGTTTTTAATTCACATGCACACCTTATATTATTACAGATTCCTATCTCACACAGGAGGCTGATGGCAGGGCCAATACATCATATCAGCATTAGCAGGCAATTAACACTGGGAAAAATTCAGAGCACTGGGGAGGGAGATAAAAATGATACCACCCTCTTACACTGGTACTGACACTGAACATAAGATAGTTTCAAACCGGATTTATCTTTTCCAGAGGTCTGTAGGGAGGCTGTGTGGCTAGAGCTGCAAATTAAAATAATTTAACCCCTAAACAGCAGAGAATTGAACAGTGAGGTCGCAGGGACATAGTCTATGCAACAACACATATTCGTTAAGATGAAGTGGTTTGGGGATTTTAAAGGGACACTATAGTCACCAGAACTATTACACCTTATTGTATTTGTTCTGGTGAGTATAATCATTCCCTTCAGGCTTTCTGCAGTAAACACAGTTTTTTTCTGTGTTTTTTCCACTGGTCACTCCCTCAAATGGCTACTAGAGGCTCTTCCTCAGAGCACAGTGCACGGACATTCAGTGTCTCCACCCTCTGCATGGAGACACAGAACTTTCCTCATAGAGATGCATTGATTCAATGCATCTCTGTGATGAGATGCTGATTGGCCAGGGTGGAGATTGGTGCTGCCCCAACCACTAAGCAATCTCAACCAATCCAATAGGAAAGTATTGTGATTAGCTGAAATCATCACTTCTGATGATATCAGCTAAGGAGTCAGATCATGGGCAGAGCCAGCAGCAGCAGACTGGAATAAAGGTAAGATTTTACTATATTTAGGGTGATAAGGGGGGATAGAGAGTGTTTTTAACACTATAGGGTCAGAAATAAATGTTTGTGTTTCTGACCCTATAGGTTTCCTTGAACTAAGCCTTAAAGGGACACTATGGCTACCAAAGCAGTTTTAGCTTAATGAAGCAGTTTTGGTGTAGAGATCATGCCCCTGCAGTCCGACTGCTCAATTCTCTGCCATTAAGGAGTTAAGTCACTTTGTCCCACGGTAAATACAGTTCTAGACTAATATAACTCTCATATGTAGTAGATACTGAATGAATATTGCAGCACCACAATTTCATATAACACTATCTTCCTTTTGTGGTTAAATTATTTTATTCACAGCAAAAAAAAAAAAAAAGAACAATAAAGAATAAAATGAACTAAACCAGCCAAAGTCCTTGCTCAGTTTGCTCTCTCTTATTCATCAACGCTCTATCCATTCGGGTATCATAAGCATTCTTTAGCACAATGTAAGCACTAGCTGTGGTTGCACCATGTGACTGACGCATTTCACCCTTCTTCCAGGCTTACCTCAAAGTCCATCAAAGTGTTAGCGTTCATATAAATTTTACAGATTGAATCTAAGCAACTTTTAATTATACATAATAATGCATTTAACAAAATTAGCAGAACGTTATAGTTCATATCTTTTTATTAACTTTTTTCTTTTCTAGGAACTAGCTGTATGTCTGCAGAAAATAAAGTATATAAGAAAGTAAATAGTCCAAAAAAAGTGGGGTAAACAGGACCAAGAGGAAAGAAAACATTTAAAAGAGGTGGAGTATAGGTACATCTTATTAATAATACTATTAGCATTTTAAGGAGCACTGTAAAGTTTAAAACATATATATTTATCTTTAACGGTTATCTATATAGAATCGGGCATCTCCCCAAGTCAATACTTCTCACAGTGAAGTATTGAATTTGATACGTCTTAAAGATTTAAAGCTTCTAGTCATTGTCTATCTGACATCCACTAAATGTGCGGTTTCGGACAAAGGTATTTTTTCAGAAAACCGGGCTCACACCTGTCCCAAATATGACAAGACAGTACCAATATTGTGGTTATGTCCCACTGTCCAAGGTTTGTTCCCAATGTACGGCTTCAGGAAACCATCCAAAGTAAGTGTAGTGCGAGTGCATCTAAACACTTGTGGATAGTTACAGGGTTCCTATAGTTACCAAAACAACTTTAGCTTAACAAAGCAGTTTTTGGTATATAGTTCATGCCCCTGCAGTCTGACTGCTCAATTTTCTGCTTAAATCACTTTGTTTATACAGACATAGTCACACCTCCCGGCAATTGACTTTCTCATCCTTCCAAAACACTTTCTGTAGTGAAATAGCTAATGGTTAAACCTTTAGTGCACATTCTGTTTAATTTAGAATTTCATATCACCTGCTTTGGTAATTGCCTTTCAGACCCTGCATTAGTGTATTAAGGTTCAATTTACAGAGGAGATAAAAAACCGCTCAAGTTAGTTAACACCTGACTGAAGAGGAAACCATTTTTTTCATGCAGACTGCATTAGTCACGGCCAGGGGAAGTAATTCTAGGACTGCAAACAGAAACAAAAGTGATTTCACTCCTAATTGGCAGAGAATTGAGCAGTGAGACTGCTGGGGCAAGACCTACACACCAAAACTGTTCCATTTGTGTTCCTTTAAGGCCACTAGGACCAAGCAGAAAGTGCTGTAACAGTTTTTTTTTCTGAATGTTCTACCATTAATGGGCCTGCCAACATGAAAAATAAAAATAAAAGGGAAGTGGGTTTGTAGCGTTTGTACTGTAGTAGTGAAGGTAGCTTAAACAACCCAAACTTAATTACAGAGTGCACTATATTCTAATTCTGTTTTTATATATACCATCACGTTGAGGACCACTACCACCAACATATCACTAACATATAACAAGATTGGGGATTGTACCACTTTACGCTATCTATTGGAAGCCATCTCTGGGCTCTATAAAATGTGAGTGCGTATTTATAAAATATCCTCCCCACTTGTGACATCAATAATACTACACTATATTGGTATCTATTTAGTTTGTATTGCATAACCTCCAGACTACCTTCCATTGGACCAAGAGATACACCTTGTGACAGAACTGCAGTTGTGCCACTACGCAGGTACATTCACCCGAATTTCTTAATTAAGAGCTGAAGTCCCACTCCCTGGTTTTCCCCCTGTCCTTCACCATCACAGCCCCGAAGAGCGTCCTTACTCCAACCCACCCAGTGACCGAGCCTCGCAAGTAAGGCCGCAAATCTCCTAGCAGTCACTCTGGCTAAGACTTTAACTGTACAGCGATTCAACAAACGTGAGTCGGACAAGAGAGCTCTTGTGAACAAACCAGGCAGAGAGTGAGATCTATCTGGCGATACAAGACATATGAGGGTTAATTGTGTAATTTTGCCTTGTTCTTAGTAAACCAGTTCTTATTCACCCTTTAATCAGTCTTAGCTAGTGTTTGGGTGAGGCAGCTATAACAGCTACAATCACTCCAGGTATCCAATGCTGAAAGAGAGGGACCCTTGACGGAGACACCCAAGATGAGTTCTATCATTCACCTTACATCTTTAGGTGGGGATTGTACTGCCTAGGCACCTAAAAGTGGAGCTTACTGATCGCTGTACACATTGTGCTCCTTATTTTATTTCGAATTATTATTCAACCTACTACACTATACAATTGGTCTAGTGTCCCTTCGCCTCACTCATATGTCCCCATAGCCTTCATATTTGATCAAAGCTGAGGATTTTCAAATCTCCTTTCCTTATACGCATATGAAAAATAAAAATACTGTAAATTAATAACAATTTACTTTTTGATAACTCTGAGCAGTAATCTATACACAAAACGCAATTTCTGCTTAAAGAATCACAGTGAGCCGTAGTAGTTATGGTCATTGCAATCTTCCATTAAAGTTGATGCATTATCACTTCATCTTTTAAAAAAAAATAATTACAATTTATGTACACAGTAACTTACGTAGCGAACGGTAATTACATTTTAGTGAGTTGTTAACAGCAATCTTTACATGAAATTGCTGTTTTCTTTTAATTTCATGTGTTAGCTACACATCCATCCAAATCATTGTAACACTTGTTTTTCTTTTTTTCTGCAATGATGTTTGTTAAAGAGTTAATAACAGTAAATCATTTCTACCTTTAGAAATAATATATTTCTCTTTTAATTCTAAATATTCACAAATACATACTTTTTTTCTAATATAAAGACACTATGGCGGTGACT